TTTCCCTGCCAGGGGAGTTGGGCTCAGAAGATGCCACTGCATGAGGTCGTGTGGGGTGGTTGTTTTGGTTTGCTATCCTGACCTGGTCTTGGCTTCCCCTTTGACTCTCATCCTGTGTGTGTGTGTGTGTGTGTGTGTGTGTGTGTGTGCAGGACCAACTGGTTTCACAATCACAGGACTTCAGTAGAGCCCCAAATATGATCAATGAGCACCTCCACTAGGCTGTGTGAAGCTCTACAAGACAAGAATACTCAAAATTACTTTTTTAATATGCAAAGTAAACAGCAGATCAAAACACAACTTGGTATTTCTGCCAAGCTCTGAGCTTCTCAGCAGGTTCTACCCAGCTATGGTGACCAAGTGCTCAGAGCAGCTCATTCTGGCATGACTTGTGCTGGGTGATCTCCTCCTCTACCTGCCTGTGCAGCACAACGTGGCAGAGACACATGTTGGCAGAGTTTGGACCTCACTACTAAGACAATCAGAGGATAAGAGACTAGTTGTGGTTGGAAGGGATCTCTGGAGATCATCTAGTCCAACCCCCTGCCCAGGCAGTGTCACCTAGAGCAGGTGACAGAGGAACACCTCCAGGTGGGTTTGGATGTCTCCAGACAGGGACACTCCACACCCTCCCTGAGCCGCTATCCCACTGCTCTGCACCTCCATGGAAAGAAGTTCTTCCTCATGTTGAGGTGGAACTTGGTGTGGTTTACTTTATGGCAATATTGCTCAAGTACCTCAAGATCAGAGCAGCTCTCAGGTCTCTGCCAACATGGGAGGCAGAGCCAGATGGGCTCATGCTCAAGCAAACTCTGTCTCACTAGCACCAAGGTTCTGACCATGGGACCCTTCCAAGTAGCTCATCACTCGCTATAAGCCTTCTGCTGGTGGTAGCTCCAGCTGAGCAACAGCATTTACCCACCAGATACTAGGGTGAGAAGAGGCCTTGGTGCCCACCTGAGCACTGTAATGAAGGAGTGAGTGAGTTCTGTTCTGCTCCTGAGTTAAACATCACAGATTTGCATCCTGACTTGCTCTCTTAGTAAATCGTCCACCTTAAGCTCAGCCTCTGCTGTATCTTGGGCTCTCCAGGCCATTTCTCCTCCCTGACTCTTCAGTAAAGCCCTTTACAAATAGAATGGCTTAAGATCATCCAGCCCCAACCCCCTGCCCTGGGCAGGGACACCTCCCACCAGAGCAGGTTGCTCAAATCTTGATCCAACCTGGCTTTGAACACTGCCAGGGCTGGGGCATCCCAGAATGTCTATCCTGGGTCAGCCACAAGTCCATCCAACCTTTTGTGGCAAGAGGGACATGATGGGACACCAGCACCCTGAGGGTGGCAGGTTGTGATGTCTCTTCTGACCCCTGAAGAACCTCCTAGAAAGGCTCTAGCTGCTCCCTCACTCTCCTTTTTTCATTCCTCATGTCCTGTCTGAAGTTCCATCAAGTCATGCCACCCTCAACCCCAGAGGGGAGGTCTGACAGGAGCATCCTGGTGACCTTTATATCCTTCCCTGTTTCCTCTGCTGTGTCCACTGGACAGGATGATTCCTACGTGGATTTTGGTATTCTTTCACAGTCCTCTTTGCTGCCTCTCCCTCCCCATCACCAGACAGGGTGGGGAGGTTCTAAGTGGAGAAACCAGTCAAAGGAATGTACAAACTGGGAGCTTAAGGAAGAATATACCAGTGAGGCAACCATGTGGTCATATGTCCTCTGAGTAATCCACTGCAGTCTGCTAGCACAGGACATGATGTCCTTTTACTCAATCACTCTTAACATGTTTTCCTTCTCTGAATCAACCTCATTTTCAATGCTTGAACCTCCAGTGTCCTGTGGCAAGAAGGTCCACAGCTGAGCCGTGCCCTGTGTGAAGAAAGAAGACAAGGTGCAATCCTTGTCGAGAGCCTCAGGAAGGATCTGGATCAAGCTTCCAGGTGAAGTGGTCACAACCTCAAGGCTGACAGAGCTCCAGAAGTGTTTGGCCAATGCTCTCAGGCACAGGGTGCAGTGTTGGGGTGACCTGGGCAGGGCCAAGAGTTGGACTTGAGGATCCTCATGGGTCCCTTCCAACTCCAAATACTATGTGAGGATCTGAAAGGAGAAGGAATGGGACCTGAAGCCACCAGTGCTCCTGTGGACACTCAGCCCTGGCAGAAGCTGTGAGCTGCCCCAGCCCAGAGGAGCTGTTGCAATCAGTGACCTCTGTCAGAGTGATGTTCTCCTGCCAAACCCACAGCCCTTGCTGCTGTAACTACTGCTCTCCCTTGCCTCTGCTTGATGAGGACTGGGCAATGAGATGTGGGTCAAAACATGGACCTTTGGTCCTCTTGTACAACCTAGGGCCTCCCTTGCCTGTTTCTGGATGTCTTGAAGGGAAGTGGAGGGAACATAGAATGGTTTAGTTTGGAAAAGACCTTTAGGATCACTGAGCCCAATCATTAACACAGCACTGATAAGGCCACCACAAAACCATCGTCCTAAGTGCCATGTCTACATGTCTCAAATCCCTCCAGGGATGGTGACTCCACCACTGCCCTGGGCAGCTATGCCAGGGCTGGACAACCCTTTCAGTGAAGAAATTTGTTCTAATATCCAATCTGGAACTCCTTGGCACAACCTGAGGCCATTTTCTGTCACGCTATTGCTTGGGAGAAGAGACCAACGTCCACCTGGCTGCACCTCCTGGCAGGAACTGGAGAGAGCAATGAGTTCCCCCCTGAGCCTCCTGTTCCCCAGGCTGAGCCCACACAGCTCCCTCAGCCACTGCTCCCGTCACTGACTCTGCACGCCCTTCCCCAGCTCCGTCCCCTGCCCTGGACACCTCCAGCCCCTGCATGTCTCTCCTGCAGAGAGGGCCCAGAACTGGTCCCAGCACTCTAGTGCCAGCACAGAGGGACAAACACTTTGCTGCTGAGGATACATGTGCTAACACAAGAAATAACCCTTTGGCTCTTTTCTAGCTACCAAGAGCTCCCTCAGAGCTGAGTTTGCTGCATGAGCAATATCTCCTAGGACAGAGACAGGTCCCTGGCTGGGCAGAAATGCTGCATGGAAGGTCACTACTTCACACTGAGCATTTCCACCATCTGTGCTTCTCTGCTGCCTTACTCAGGGGCACAATCCAGCTCTTAATATAGCCCCCAAATGTTCCATATAAGTTAGTCATCCCACATGGACTCAGTCCCAGAAGTCACTGTTAGAAAAGACTTGTTAAACTCTCAGTTTTACAGGTAAAGATGAATCAGCCTCCCCTTGCTCTCTATTTGTGTATCCTGTTCCCTGCTTCGACTGGAGAGCTCAGGGACACACCTGAGGAGGCAGAAGAGCCTCCTGGAATTTGCCAGTTACCAAGTAACTTTGTGCATCAAACAGAAACAGCCCAAAGGGACTAGAAAGACAATCAACCAAATTATCTCCCAGACAGAATCACTGAGGTTGGAAGAGACCTTCAAGCTCATCCAGTCCCTCCATCAACCATCATCAGCCCTAAACCATGTCTCCAAGGGCCACATCAGACACCTCTGGGACACTCCCAGACACAGTGACTCCACCACCTCCCTGGGCAGCTCATCCCAAGGCCTGAACACTCTGGCAGGGAAAATTGTTCTAATATCTAACCTAAACCTCCTCTGGTGCAGCTTGAGGTCATTTCTTCTTGTCCTTTCACTTGGGACATGGCAGGAGAGACTCACAGAATAGTTTGGGTTGGAAGTAAACTTAAAGATCATCTAGTTCCAGCCCCTGCCCTGGGCAGGGACACCTCCCACCAGCCCAGGCTGCTCCAAGCCCCATCCAACCTGGCCTGGAACACTCCCAGGGATGGAGCAGCCACAGCTGCTCTGGGCAACCTGTGCCAGTGCCTCAGCACTTCACAGGGATTAATTCCTTCCTAATAATTCCTCTTACTCTTATTTTCCAGAGCTCATCTTTCCTCTTCTTCAACCTGGCCCAACCCAGACAAAGCTGCAGCTAAGCTCACTTCTGGAGAAACACAGCAGGGCTCTGTTACTGGAGCTCAAGTTGCAGCACTCAGCACCAAGAGTCCTCCCCAGCCCCTGCCAGGATGACTGATGTAAGCTCTCAACCAGTGTTTGACTTTCCAGGTGAGATTAGATTTAGATTCCAATTGGATCTGAACACAAAGTGTTCACTGCAAGGCATTCACCTCTCTGCCAGCTGCTCCTAGCCTTGTGCAGGGTGAGGCTCCTCTCTTTTGGAGCCTTTCATCCCATTACCCAGTGGAGCTTTCAAATCCTGAGTGTTCTGGTGGATCTCCTTGGAGAAGGACACAGGGAAGGTAAGTTTTTTTCTCAGAAAAAAAATGATTCTGGAAAAATCATAGCAATTTTTGTTCTGAATCAAAGAAAAATCAGATTTTACAGACAAAAGAGCAATTTGGATTTCTGAGAAGAGAAGCTTTGGGGTGACCTCATAAGCAATTTGGATTTCGGAGAAGAGAAGCTTTGGGGTGACCTCATTGTGGCCTTCAGTGCCTGAAGGAGCTACAGGAAAGATGAAGAGAGACTATTGACAAGGGATAGAGGGACAGGACACAGGGAGTGGCTTCCCATTCACAGAGGGCAGAGACAGGTGGATATTGGGCAGGAATTGCTCCCTGTGAGGTGCTGAGGCACTGGCACAGGTTGCCCAGAGCAGCTGTGGCTGCTCCATCCCTGGGAGTGTTCCAGGCCAGGCTGGATGGGGCTTGGAGCAGCCTGGGCTGTTGGTAGGTGTCCCTGCCCAGGGCAGGGGGTGGAACTGGATGATCCTTAAGGTCCTTCAAACCCAAACCATTCCATTATTCTATGAGGCACAAGAGCAGTAAGGACTTCCTTGGGCCTCTGAACATACCCACTCAGAGCTGGGGCTGCTCAGCAGGTCTAAAACTTCACTTTAAATTTGCACAAGACAAAATCAACCAATGCAACTCTTTGAGCACAGAGATCTGGTTACAAAGAGTGTTGTGCTGTCTCCAGCAGCCGCAGCCTGCAAGGATGGCTGAAATGCAGAACTTCACGTGGGCAGTGGAGGATATCTTCAAGGAAACCTTTCTCACATACATGAACAGCTGGAGGAGAAACATGACAGAAGCCACAAACAAACTGGAAGCTGAAGTGGCTGCTGAGAACTTTGACTATGTCATCCTTTACTTGATGGTGATGATTGGTATGTTCTCCTTCATTATTGTGGCCATCCTGGTGAGCACTGTGAAATCCAAGAGGAGAGAGCACTCCAATGATCCTTATCACCAGTACATTGTTGAGGACTGGGGGGAGAAGTATAAGAGCCAAGTCCTGAATCCAGAAGACCTCAAGGGTATGATCCATGAAAACCTGGGGGCAAGGGAGAAAACAAGTCCTGAATCACCATGACTTCATGGGAACCATAAAGCCACACACAGGGAACTCACTGGGGTGGCAAAGAGCTGTGAAACTTCATTTAATTAACAAACAAGTCAGTGTATCATGAAGGAAATCAACCTCGGTGATTCCAGAAGGACCTTGGAAGAGCTGCTGGGGAAAATCCCAGAGAAAATTAATGATTGAGATTCTGTTCCATAAGAAAATAAACCCAAATAGAATGAATAACTTGGTTTTTTTAGCATGTTTTCAATTCAGAAGCAGATCTGGATGTTCTCACCTTGGAATAACCATGAAATAGTGGTCAAAAGTGCTGGTTTAGATTCAAACTGGATGACTTAAGCTCATCTTAACTTGAAAACATACAGGAAAATATCGAAGCTCCATGTGATGACTGAACGTGTTAGGGGATGAATAACAGGACCTAATCTATACCTACACACATTCACACCAAACCACTTCTTCATGATCTTGCTCCCATTTCAATGTCACTATTCACTGGCAGCAAAGGTTGACTCATGTTTGCTAGCAGAAAAGCTGCTGAACTAGTAGTCTCAGCCAGGAGCATGTCCTGGTGGTGTAGAAAGGCTTCCAGAGGTTTGTCCTCTGACTTCAAGTACACAGCTGGCCAAGCTGAGTACTGTGTGCAGTTCTGGGCCCCTCAGCTCAGGAGGGACATTGAGGTGCTGGAGCAAGTCCAGAGAAGAGCAACGAGGCTGGTGAAGGGACTGGAGCACAAGTGCCATGAGGAGAGGCTGAGGGAGCTGGGGGTGTTCAGCCTGGAGAAGAGGAGGCTCAGGGGAGACCTTCTCATCCTCTGCAACTCCCTGACAGGAGGTTGGAGTCAGGTGGGGGTTGGTCTCTTCTCCCAGGCAA